ACTGCTGCTGTGTACTCTGCTTGGGGGTTTATCCCCAAACACTAACAACACCCAAGTAGTCCCTAATGATGAAATAGTTAAACCATCAATAGCCATTAAAGAGGAAGAACAGGAACAGGATGAGGAGGAAGAACAGGCAGAGGAGGAAGTAGAAGCAGGTGAAACAGGAGACTCCACCAGTAAGCCCTGTATTACCGAGACCTTCAACCGGAGTAACACAACCACCTGATAGATATCAGGCTAGTGTTGTATGCCAAGTGAATACAGTTCCTGGTAATTATAGTGAACTGAAACTATCCTGCTAAGGATCAGGCTGCTTGGCAGGAAGCAATGGATAAGGGACTGAATTCCTACAAAGGTTGGAAGTATATGAAAATGTCAGGTTACCACCAAGTAAACATGCCATAGGGTGTAAATGGATTTATAAATTTAAGACAGGTGTAGATGCGACTGTTACCTACAAAGCCAGGTTAGTAGCACAAGGGTTCAGTCAGACAGCAAACAACTACGATAAGGTGTTTGCGCCTAGTCTGAAAGCTACTACATTACGAGCAGCATTAGTGTGGGCAGCTAAGGACAAAATACATTTACATGTTGAGATGGCATATCTGCATGCACCGTTGCAACACGCTATATATTTAAAGAAACCTTTAGGTATAAAGAACGATAATACAACTGATTGCTGGAGAATAAAAAAGAGTCTTTATGCTTGAAGCATTCAGGATAGTTCTTGACTTACGACCACAATTGAGTCCAAAATTTATGTTACTAAGTGAGAAATTTGTTAAGTGCGTTTTGCCCCATTTTACTACTTTTCATGCCACAGTTGTTGAGTGAATCACTGCAGTTATTAACCTGCTTGTTAAGTGAATCTGGCTTGCCCATTGATTTTGCTTGTCAGAAGGGCGCAAAAGGTGATCTTGTGACCCTGGGATTCTGCAACGGTCATAAATATGAATCAGTTGCCAAGCGTAACTGAATTTGGATTACATGATCATGGGGATGCTGGAAAGGTGGTAACTCTGAAAAATGGTCATAAGTCACAAGAAAATGCTGGATCCCAGAGCGCTGCACTTATGTGATCTGCAAAGAATGGCAGCCGGATCTAGTTAATGTCATTTTTTTAAAAAAGAACTGTGGCAGGTCCACATCATTACTCTTATTGATGGAGATTTATGAAGGCCAGTTACTTTTTCAAGTGAAAAGGAAGATTTAGTACAGGTAAGTCCTTGATTTATGGCCACAGTTGAGATTAGAATTTTGGTTGTTGAGGCGGTTGTTAAGTGAGTCACACCCAATTTTTATGCCCCTTTTTCCATGGTCAAGTGAATCACTGCAGCTTTTGAAAGGAGAGTGGTCATTAAGTCAAAGGCTTTCCCCCTTGATTTTGCTTGCCAGAGTTTGGCTGGGAAGGTCCGAAGTGGGGATCATGTGAACCTGAATGCTGGTTGCCAAGCGCCCAGTTTTCGTTACATGAATGTGGGGATGCTGTGCTAGTTTTAAGTGCGAAGACTGTTTGTATGAGTGACTGTATTGTATTTCACTTTTACTGCTAGTGTATATAATAAGAAATGTAAGACCATTCCAGTTTTAGGAACTGGGCTTGGCTAATCTAGTGAAGAGAAGGCCCAGGGGAGACATGATAGCAGCATTTCAATATTTGAGGGGCTGCCACAGGGAGGAAGGGATCAAGCTATTTCCTAAAGCTCCTGTAGGCCAGACAAGGAATAATGGATGGAAACTGAACAAGGAGAGATTTAACCTGGAAATAAGGAGAAACTTTCTGACTGAGAACAATTGACCAATGGAACAGCTTGCCTTCGGAAGTTGTGGGAGAGCCATCACTTGAGATTTTCAAGAAGAGATTGGACTCCCATCTGTCAGAAATGGTGTAGGGTCTCCTGCTTGGGTGGGGGGGTTGGACTAGATGACCTATAAGGTCCCTTCTGTTATTCTGTATTCTATTCTAAGATTTTACATGCTTCTAAAATTTTATTTCAACAATAAATTGCTTCCTTGCCTTTACTCTGCTTTGATGCTAAAATACAACTTTTTAAATTCTAGAGATCTTGGAGATCATGGATACCTGATTGAAGGCCGCACCTTAATTTCTAAGGAAAACCTGGATAAAGCAATTCCGTACAAATACGCTGTTAAATGTGACAAAAACTTGTCATATGAATTCATTTACAAACCTACAGATGGACCACATGTAAATCGCTGCTTGTTTTTATTATCAAAATTGATACGTGGTACAGGTAAGAAACTGCTCCTTGTATTACAGTCTCCCCAGGGTTATATTAAAGAAACTTAGATTTTGTAACACCCAAGAAAGCAAGAATCCCCTTAATATATTTGACAGCTCGGTATCTGCAATAGAGTCCTTCAAACTTTTGGGTTGTATGATCTTCCAGGATTTGAAACTGGTACTTAATATTAGAACCATCATTAAAAAGACACAACAAAGAATGTCCTTTCTCCATCAGCTCAAGAGATTTAGACTGCCCGAAGAGCTGTTAATACAGTTTTATAGAGGAATTATTGAGTCATGTGTACTTCTATATTATTGAGTCATTTGTACTTCTATAACTGTCTAGTTTGATACAGCAACCAAACAGGACAGGTACAGTCTCAGCAAATAGTGAAGATTGCAGGAAGAACAATTGCAATCAATCTGCTTTCCATAGAACACCTGTATGTTATCTGGGTCAGAAAGAGGACTGAGAAGTTATATATAGAAACCCCTCACATCCTGGACATGAACTGCTTCAGTTCTCCCCTTCAGGATGGTACCACAGGGCATGCGAAAACAACAGCCCCAGGGACAGATTTTTTTCCTCTCATGTCACCTAATTCTTAAGGACCTAAAAGCTGTTAAAATAACACCTGACTATATAGCAGTTCTGAATATTGTGATTTTTTCCAAAGTCAAAATACTCAGGTCTAATAATTTCAAATTTTCCATGTATCTAACCCTTTGGCTTCCATGTATCTAACCCAAGGCCTCCTGAGCTTCATTTTTTCTGGTGGAGTGTTGCAGGAAGCTGTTGCATGTCCCGGGATCATGTAATCATCATTTGTGAGCTTCCCATCAGCCTCTGACAAGCAAAGTTCAATGGGGAAAGCCAGATTTGCTTAGCGACCAAATGATTTGCTCAACATGTGCAATGATGCACTTAACAAATATGGCGAAAAGGTTGTAAAAATGGGACGTGACTCACTTAACAATTGCCTTGCATAGCAGCGGAAATGGCGGGCTTAGTTGTGGTTGTAAGTCCAGATCTACCTGATTAAGCAACTGATAGTCACCAAAGCTTCTTTTTTTTTTTTTGGATTAAGCAATTTACTTAGTCTCATACAGTACTTAAGTTACAACCACAATTGCACTCAAAATTTATGTTGCTAAGTGGAACATTTGTTTAGTGAGTTTCCCCATTTTACGATTTTTCTTGCTACAGTTGTTAAGACAGCCATTATATTTGCTAAGTTAGTAAAATGGTTGTTAAATGAATCTGGATAAGTCACAAAAGGGGATCAAATTACTCCGGGACACTGCAACAGTCATAAGTATGAGCCAGTAGCCAAGTGTCTGAATTTTGATCACGTGACCATGGGGATTCCGCAATGGTCATAAGTCCCTTTTTTCAGTGCCGTTGTAACTTTGAACGGTCACTAAAGGAACTGTTGTAAGTCGAGGAACACCTGTATCTGCTAAAGGTAGGAATTCCACATTTATTTATTGTTGTGTAGTGCTGTATTTCAAAACACATCCTAGCAGTAAACAATATGAAATGAATATGGATGGAATATAGGTCAGAAATCCCTTCTACAGAGGTTGAAAGAAAATGACTCTTTCTGTGGGTCTGCATGGTCTGACTATGGAAGGAGACAATAACAGAGCAGGGTGTATCATGCGGTTGCATTGGCATGCAAAGCTAGTAGGGCTGTATCTTGCATTTCAGAACTTTAATAATATTTTATTTAACAGATTGGCATCAATATGATGATATAATATGTGCTAAACCAGAGAAGAGTTGGTGGAAGAATTTGAAGAATCGCATTTCATTTTGGAAAGATAAGGAACAGGATTTTGTGAAAGGGAAACTGATAGCAGCAAAAATAATGCTGGACAACCTCTTCAGTATACTTAAAACATGGAGTCGGATTAACGTCAAAAGCTTTTTCCAGCAGTTCCACCAATTTTACTTTGTGAATAAAAAGATAATGGTACATGAAGGATGTCGAAAGGAATGGAAAGAGCTACAATTCAAAGAAGAGCAGGTATTATATTCTCGTCATTATACATCCAAGAAGAACCTTGTAGTCAAATGTCTATAAAGTTTGTAGCATCTTGACTGTGCTGAGCAAGGTGCTCATTGTTATAGTGCCTTTGGAATAAAATGATGCAGCAAAGTTATTAAACTTAAACTTGAGTTCAAGATGCTCAAAAAAGAGAGAATATGGACTTAAGTCATTGCAGGAATGAAATGTAACTCACCAAGGAGGGCACTGAGTGTTGTTCAAGAGGAAGGCCATCTCTATAGATACTCCACTATGGATTACATAAGGTTCTGATATCAAGCATATGCTCTGATGTTTGAAACAATTCTGTATTTCAAAAGTGAAACTGATGCAAGATTTAATTCAGTTGGGAAACTCTGGATTATAGTTCTATATATAGACTTATGAACTTGGAATTTCTCGTAACAGAGTTTTTATTTGTTCCTATAGAAACTATTATAATTCTCAATTTTGTACATTATAGTTTATTGATTATTTGTGTTGATATTCATATATTGAATTTTTAAAAAGGACTGATAGTTTTTAGAATATTATACCATGTTTCCCAGAAAACAGGACTGGGTCTTATTTTTGGGGGCTCCAAAAATAAACACAGGACCTTAGTTTGGGGGGCTGTTTTATTTTTTCCCCATTTATGGGAGCCCCACCTCTTCGGCTTGCTTGCAGCCACAATGGAGCAGGAGGCAGTGTGGTGCAGCAGGACTGCCATGAGGTAAGAGATGCAGCCGCCACACGTACCTTGCATCGGCTTACATTAGGACCCTCAGCCAGACCATCCATGCCCTGATACCAAGCCTCATGGCAGCGGCTCCAACAGCCCTGTGTCCAGCTGGACCCTGTGTGTCTGCCAGCTCACTTCTTCTGCTTGCTTGCTTGCTTGCAGCCACAACGGAACATGCAAGCCGAGAGATGGTGGGGTGGAATGGGTGGCTGGCCACGGGACGTCTTTGCATCTCTCGGCTTTCCCACAGCCTGCACAGTGCATCGGGATGCCTGCCTTCCTTCCTGCCCACACCTCTGCTGCTGGTGCTGCGGCATAAAGACTAGCCTCCCGCGGCCACCCACCTGCTCTGGCCACCCCACTCTCTGCTTTCCCATGTTCTGTGTGATGCATCCAGATCACGTGTCTCCCCCTTCCGCCTCTGCCTCCACCTGCTGCTTGGATAGATAATCAACTCAGCTGCACTGTGCAACCTGGGGTAGGGCTTATTTTAGAGGAAATGGTAGTATATTCATCTGTTTGAAGCAATTGTTGGAATATTAAAAATTTATAATGCTTGTAAACATCTACCACAGGCGTGTCTGTGGTCCACAGGCCAGATATGTCACATGCTGGCCACACCCACCCGTTTTAGTAAAGGGGAGAAAAGTTGTGATACATCAAGACAATGTATCGTTGCGAGTTTGACACCTATGATCTACCATTTACTGAATTTTTCTTGCTTTCTCCCCATACCGCTCTTTAGAATTTTTTGGGGGGGTGGGGCGGGAGAATTTTTCCTCTACTCTCTTTTTAAAAAAATGCCTAATTAAAAAGACTGATTCTGATGGTCATATTTTGAAATAATTGAAACTTTTGAATGTAGAAAATAACTTAAATGGTGATTGTGGTCAAATCTAGCCAGCTCAGGAGCAATTACAAATTCAATTAATTTGTTACAGCTGGCACAATGGACATAATTGACCAAATATATTCCTTTCCCTAGTTACCACCTATGAAACTAATAAGAGGATCAGCAAGGAGCCCATAATGAGATCCCAGTTTCTGAGATATCCTTCCTATGGCCCAAAGCATATTTTGAACTTTTCTAAATTATGTTCAGTCTAATCTATTCCATTATCAACCCTATACAGTATTCAGTACTGATACTGATTATTTCTTTAAAGTAAAATGGTAAGGAGGAAGCTGATGGCTGCTCTATTCCAATCAGAGGTGGTATTAAGCAGGTTTTGACCAGTTCTGGAGAACTGCTAGCAGACATTTTGAGTAGTTCGGAGAACTGGAAAACACCACTTCTGACTGGCCCCGTCCCCATCTATTCTCTGCCTCCTGAGTCCCAGCTGATTGGCTGGGTCTTCTTTTGTTGCCCTGCACAGGAGAATGGAGCTGGTAAGCAGGTTAGTGGGGTGGGGAGGGAATGAGGTTTTGCAGTAACCTTCTCTTGCCACACCTACCCAGCCACACCACTCCCACCAAGCCACGCCCACAGAACCGGTAGTGAAAATTTCTGAATCCCACCACTGATTGCAATGCTTATATTTCCTGTCTTAGCAGTTCCATATAGACAATAAATAAAGTCAGAGATTGTACCATTATAGATCTTGAAACTCAAATAAAATAATTTCTAGTATTGGGCATTTGCCACCTACAAATCTGCATGGATCACTTCCCTTAACCATGAAGCCAATCACATTTTGGCTGATTTAATCGGTCAAAAGGACAAAATGTTTTTTAAATAGATGATAACACGGATATTCCACTCTGGACCATGCCCTCAGCATGTACAGTACAAACTGAAAGAATTTTAAATTAATGGAACAAATAGGTGTAGACATTACATATTCTCATACGTCCCAATGCTGATGCCCAATCTAAGGAAGATGTGATTGACATTAATTACACAGATGTAACAAGCAGCTTCCTGTAAGCTACTGTTTTTCCCTCCTTTTCAACATCCCAGCCAAGAAGGTGCTGAATTACTTTCAAAAGATGCAATAAAAGCAAGACTGTTCAGTTCTTCTTCTTCTGCATCGATTAGAAATAGACTTCAGTGCATAATTTTGTCCCAAGGTTTCTTCTCTTTGTGCTTTGTCATCCCTTTTGCTTCATTATTTTCGTCTTCTCATCTTTGTATTAACACTTGGAAGGCTGATAGTAGCATAGATTCTGATCCCTGAGCCTTTTTACATTCCATAGAGCATAATAGGATTTGATAGTATTGCAGTCAGGTGAGGTGGGAAATTGTTAAGTACATTCAGGAAATCATTTAGATCAATTGGACACTTGAGTCTGATAAGTTTTTGACCCGCCAAATCTGCACAATCACTTTGAGAAACAGAGAGCCGTTGTACAACCTAACATGTTAATAGTTTAACTTAAACCAATTTCCTGACCTTTTAAAGTCTAATCTATAATGTTTTCTTTGGGTTAGATCAGAACAATGTATGCACCTAGATGTTTTGTTTTTTAGCTATAGCTTATGCCTTAATGTGATGTTTGTTTTTTTTCTCCCTCCCTCCCTCTCTTTTAAAGTTGCAAGCTTTTATTGTGAATTACTTGATGGAAGAATCAAATAACATCCTCAAACAGAACACTTCGATGTGGGATAAAATAGGCTTAGCATTGATCACTTATACATTAATAACATCTTATCATATTCGACTGCCCAAAAAGGAACTGAAACAGTTATGCATGTTTCTTTGTCTGGAGAAATCACCAGCAGACGTAAATGAAATTGAGAGTTTCAGAGAGACATTTTCAGAGTGTCCAAGGTAGGTAATGTGATTTTGGGGCATATAGAAAGCGTGTAGGGTGGAGTGAGGATACTGAAGTTTAAGGTAGAAAAAAATGTTTGGTTGCGTACATGCCATTGATCAATGTGATCTTCCAAGGTGGGCATCTTGATTCCAGAAAGATTTCCCCATGCAGGAAACACTTTGGAGGGGAGATTTGGGTGCTCTTGGGCAGTTTTTGACCCTGGAAACATGCCCTGACTCTTTGTGCTTTCTTTGATATTAGGCATATGGTGAGCTGAGTCCATCCTAAGCTGCTGCTGTATTTCTATGCACCTGTGGTTTTAGATGGGCTGTATGTACTTCATTGCACTAGAATATTTATCACACTGTTGATTAAGCTCAGTATTCATTATGATCATTAGAAAAGGTTATTTGTTGGGCAAGCCTGAAAAGTAATTACATTCTGATCAGAGATGGACATTCTAATTGACCAGATCCTTGGCTTCTGTATGTCCAAAGCCCAACATGTTCTGTATATTCTTCCCAGAAAACATTCCCCTCCTTCCCACAGAAAATGCAAAACAGTAAAAAGAAACAACAAGGTGTAGTTGGGCGAAAGAGAAAGTGTTCAGATGTACAGTGCATTCAGAAAGTATTCAGATCCCCTTCACTTTTGCCATTTTTTTTATGCTGCAGCCTGATTCTGCAGGTATTGAAATTCATTTTTCCTCATTAATCTACACTCAGTACCCTATAATGACAAAGTGAAAACAGAATTTTAGAAATATCTATAAATTTATTAAAAAGAAAAAACTGAAATAACACATTGGCATAAGTAATATATATCATTGTATACTGAGCCTTCACTCAGTACTTTGTTGAAGCATCTTTGGCAGCAATTTCAGCCTTGGGTCTTTCTGGGTATGACGCGACAAGCTTTGCACATGAGAATTGTGGGATTTTCTGCCAATCTTTCTTGTAAATCCTGTCAAGCTTATTCAGGTTGGATGGTGACCGTTGGTGGACAGCCATTTTCAGGTCCCTTCGGAAATGTTCAGTAGGGTTCAAGTCAGGGCTCCGGCTGGGCCATTCTAGGACATTCACAGAGTTGCCCTAAGCTACTCCTGCGGTATCTAGGCCAGCTGTTGCCAAAATGTCACCCCCAAAGCAATTAATTCAGGGTGTGCGGGAACAAAAGGCTCCGCCACCCACATGGCCTGTGGGAATACAAGGCTTGCGTTGCTTGTATTGCAAACAACACGAGGTAGTGAGGGGAGGGGGGAAAGGGTGGAGGGGGAATTTGCCTTACTCACCCCATGGGCCTGGCCTGGCCACTAAGCTGGTTCTTTCCATTTCTTTCTTCTGCTCTTGGCTGCACGCAAGGAAAGCAGCAAAAGTCTTTCTTTCTCTCCCCCAAACTCTGCCAGAAAAGAGTCTTTGGGACCCTGCAAGAGGCCTTGCTGGTGCGACAAGTCTCACAAAACTCATTTCTGGCGGAGTTTGGGGGAGAGAAAGAAAGACTTCTGCTACTTTCCTTGCATGAAGCTAAAAGTCTCCCTCTCTCTCTCTTTCTCCCCCGAGAATGGAGCTGGAGACGGTATCCTGCAATCCCAAATAAAGAATGATTGATTGATAGTAAAACGGGGTGGGGAATATTCCTGCAGACTTTGGGGGGGATTTTCCCAGGGTCTCTGGTCCGCAGGATTTAAAATTATGAGTTTGGTGGTCCATGAGGTCCAAAAGTTTGGTGACCCCTGATCTGGGCTGTGTGCTCAAAATCGTTATCATGTTGGAAAAGGAATCTTCAGCCCAGTCTGAGGTACTGAGCGTTGTGGAACAGGTTTTCACTAAGGATATCCCTGTACTTTGCTTCTTCAGCTTTCCTTCAATCCTGGCCAGTCTCCCAGTCCCTGCTACTGAAAACACTCCCATCACCATGCTTCATTTTTAGAATGATATTGGGCAGGTGATGAGCAGTGCTTGGTTTCCTCCAAACATAATGTTTAGAATTGAGTCCAAACAATTCAATCTTGGTTTCCTCAGACAAGAGAATCTTGTTCCTCACCGTGTGAGAGTTCTTCAGGTGCATTTTTGCAAATTCCAAGTGGGCTTTCATGTGTTTTGCACTGAGAAGAGGCTTCTATCTGGTCACTGCCACAAAATCCAGATTGGTGGAGGACTGTAGTGATGGTTGTCCTTTTGGAACTCTGTCCCATCTCCACACAGGATCACAGCAGTTCATTCAGAATGATCATCGGATTCTTGGTCATCTCTTACTAAGTTCCTTCTTCCCCGATTGCTCAGTTTGACTTGTGTGATCAGCTCTTGGAAGAGTCCTGGTTGTGCTTCTTCCATTTGAGAATTATGGAGGCCACTGTGCTCTTAGGAATCTTCAGTGCAGCAGAAATTTTATTGTAGTGTTCCCCAGATCTGTGCCTGGCAATAATCCTGTCTCTGAGCTCTGCAGGCAGTTCCTTTGACCTCATGGCTTTTGCACTGCTACAGTATGCATTGTCAGCCGTGGGGCCTTCTATAGAGAGGTGTGTGCCTCTCCAAATCCTGTCCAATCAATTTAATTTACCACAAGTAAGCTCCAAGGTGTAGGAACATTTCATCAATGATCAAGAGAAATGGGGAGCAATGGAGCTAAATTTCAAGCGTTATTGCAAAGGGATATTTATGCCAATGTGATATTTCAATTGTTTCTCATTGATAAATTTACAGACATTTCTAAAATTCTGTTTTCACTTTGTCATTATGAGGTGCTGAGGGTAGATTAATGAGGAAAAAATGAATTTCAACAATTGTAAAATCAGGCTGCAGCATGAGTAAATTGACAAAAGTGAAGGGAGTCTTGAGTACTTTCTGAGTGCATTGTAGATAGGATGAAGCTGAAGGGAACAAATTAACTGAACAGGAAAGAAAAAAAAATGAAAAGTCTTGGGCAGCTCTTCTAAAAGGTGTGTAAGTTCCAATTATGTGAATCCTCTCAAGTAAAGAACAACCAAGGATCTTTCTTTCACTATTTGAAGACAGATCCCATTTGTTATTGGTAAAAGAGGTTGTTTGATCTGTAGATCATTAAAGGGGATCTCAATGGCTGTTCTTTCATGGCAGCTATTTTACAAATGTGATTCCTGTTATCTTAAGGCAGGTATTTTCTCTAGCCCACACTGTATTCTCTGTATACGTTTATTAGTCTCGAAATGTTGGGGGCACTAGTACAGAATAGTTATGTCTGAAGGACTCTATTTTTGTTGGAAGTAAGAAAGTCAAGTTAACTTGCACAGAGGGATTCTGATAAAAATTATTTTTAGATCTTAATTTTGTCTATCTCTTTCAGTTTGGTGGAGAACTTGATAATATTCTGTGATAACTGCATTGAAGAAGAGATTCACGAGTGGGTGTGGACACTCCCAATTCTTTATCTAATTGCTGTGAATGATTCTGAATATAAAACTAGGATTTGCCTTGAATCAGAAGAGAAATGGGCAAGGTTGGAATTTATTCGATATTCGGAATGTAGAGCTAAAAACAGAAACTTCTATAAGTAAGTTTTTCAGCCTAGTATTGTTATTCCTGAAATGATTTCTGATTTTTTTAAAAGTTAATTTGAGCTAAGACATGGATTTTCAATATTTATACAGATGGTCCTCAATTTACAACTAATCATTTAGTGACTGTTTTAAATTACAATAACATTAAAAAATGACTTATGACTGCTTTTCCCACTTACAAACATTGCAGCATCCCCCACATGGTCACATGATCAAAATTTGGACGCTTGGCATCTGACTCATATTTATGACAGTTGCAGTGTCATGTGATCACCTTTGACAATCTTCTGATGAGCAAAGTCAATGGGGATGCTAGATTCACTTAACAACCATGTTACCAGCTTAACATCTGTGATGATTCACTTAACAACTGTGGCAAGAAACTGTAAAATGGAGCAAAACTCTCTTAACAAATGACTTACTTGGGAAAAGTAATTTTGGACTTGGTTGTGGTGATAAATTGAGGAGTACCTATAGACTTCAAAGCTGGACTCCAAGAAATAGAAATAGTGCCATTTGGTGATGTGAGTTTCTAAGATAGTAAATGTTTGTGACGTTCACAAACGATACAGAGGTTAATAAAAATAATAAGTTATTGTTGCATAAATAATTAAACTTTCTCCAGTGGCGCAGGTCTTTTTGCTTGATCAGTCCATAAAATGACTCAATAAATTGCTCAGGGTTGCAAGGGTTTCAAGAAAGAATTGAGAATATTATGAAACAATAATATTGTGATATAAAAGACCAATATGCAACGTAGGAAGTACTTCTGAGGTGATAACTACAGTTTAGGTAGGGTCATATTTTGGTACTTTATTCTGATGATCTGTATTCAATAACTAATATAACTGAACTATTGCAATGTGCTGTACATGGGGCTACCCCTGAAAAGTATCCAGAAACTTCATCTGGTTCAGAACATGGCCATCTGGGCAATCTTAAGTGCCCAAGAAGGCTGAATGTAACACCTTTGCTTCATGAGCTGCATTGGGTACCAGTTTGTTTCAGGGTCTGTACCGTATTGCTCAATTGCTTTCAACCATGGCAGAGCTTCTAAGGTACTTTAAAGTCTTAAAAATTCAGAGAGATACTACATGCTTTTAAAATAGCCTATATTGAAGTATATAGCACAATCAATTATCAGGATCTGACCACAGAAAATGTTTTATTGTAATTTTGTATTGTGTCCTAAAATGTTTTATGATAACTTTATGTCATTGCATTGTTACTGCTTGCCCTCAGCGGTGAGAAAGCCCCCAATCTCTTGGCCTCCTGCAAAGGGGTCAAAATTTGGCTGCGTAGCCTTGTGTGGGGGACACAGGAGCCCATATAACCATGGGGCTAGTTGGCTCTATGAGAAACCCCTTTCCCTGTGGCCTGTACCAACAGCTACTGATCTCCTATCTTGGAATTCTTCATCTTTTGAAATTTTATAAGGTCATTTTATAATGTTAATATTTTAGCCCTGTTTTTACCTTGTTTTTAATTGTTTAATTTTATTGATTAAATTGCACACCGTCCAGAGCACCTCTCCAGAGGAAATGGGCAGTTAAGAAATATGAAATATGAATAAATAAATAACTTCTGAGTCAGCAAACCCAGTTCTTTTAGATGTAGCAGCTGCAAAATATAAAACCAACTTGAAATTCCTTAATTTCTAGATTCACAGTTCCTCACATTCCATATAATGTTGAAATTGAAGCTCCTGTATTTTAAATAATGCTCAGAGAATACTCATTGTACTGTATTTTTATTCAAATTTCTGCATAACTGCCATGCTTTTCTGTATGTTGAAAAGGAATCTAATAATGCAAAAGCAGCATTTGCTGGAAGGAAACCGAACATTATTCAGATCCTGGTTCTGCTTGTTACCACTATATCACCTGGTGGAATTTATCTCTGGCCCTTATGCTGATCCATTTGACTGTCTTCTGGGAACTTTTCATAGACTGAAAAACTTGAAAATTAGCCAAAATAACTGTCAGGTTTGTTCTGATTTCTAATTAACACTTTTAATTATCTTTGTCTTATGACGGCAAGGGACTAGACTAGAGGCTCAATCCATAGGTTTGTCATTACTCCTTATGTGAAGTATGCATCAGCAAGTATGAGAAATTGATTTGGCCAAGCTATTCTAGTAAATTGGTCTATTAAGGCCTGACTTACAGATCTGGCGTCAATTTGGCATACCAAATTGCTACTTTTGGCTCCAGGGTAGAATAACCTCCCTTGATCAAGACATGCTGTTTGCCTTTGATATCTTGGGCTCACAATACAGGTAGGTCTTGACTTACAACAGTTCAATTTAGTGACTATTCAAAGTTTATAACAGAACTGAAAAAAGTGACTTATGACTATTTTTCACACTTACAATCATTGCAGCATCCCCATGGTCACCTGATCAAAATTCAGATGCTTGGCAGCTAGTTCATATTTATGACTGTCCTGGGGGCATGTGATCTCCTTTTGTGACCTTCTGACAAGCAAAATCAGTGGGGAAACCAAATTCACTTAACCATATTACTAACTTCTGAATGATTCACTTCACAACTGTGGCTAGAAATGGCATAAAATAGGGCAAATTCACTTAACAAATGTTTCACTTAGGAACATAAATTTTGGGCCCAATTGTGCTCCTGTACAGGACTGCCTGTATGCATCACTCACATCTGAAAGGGTCCCATATTAATAGGTTGAAAAGGGCTATATTCTTATCAGGGCAGTACTGCATGTCCTGGCATATGTCATATTATTTCATATATGCGGATACTTCCTCCCCAGTGGAAGAAATACTCATTCACTTGCATAGTAATTAGCCAGATTTGGGAGCCTCGGGCAAAAATTGGTAAGCATCATGAGCTGATAAAAAGATACCCTGTACCCTTAAGGAGATAACACTGCACAGATTTCCCTTTTTGAAACACTGATTCCCAGTATTTCTTGGGAATACTAGGCAGATCAGACCAAGCAGTCAGCTCCAGGAAGGCTAAAGCTACCTTTATTTCTATAAAAGCAGAATCTTGCAAGATTGACTGTGCTGTACTTTTTCCCTCCTATGCTTCAGTGAATTAAGGAGGTATCTGCCTGAGCCACTTCCAAATATTCAGTCAGTCAGTTATCCATCCAATTTCTAGAGATCCCCATCTGAAACAAGTGACACTAGGTGAGGAATAACCCAATAAGAGAAACCTTTAGGTTTGCTTCTGTTTTATCTGTCAGAGATACGAGTCAGCTGCCAAGTCTCTGAATTTTGATCATGTTGCTATGGAGATGATTGCTACAGTCATAATTGTGAAAAATGATTAAAAGTCCCTTTTTTCAGTGCCATTGTAACTTTGAACCGACACAAAATGAATGCTTGAAAACTGAGGACTACCTGTATCCACTCTCAAATAAACCTTCCAACCAAGAGAAAAGGGGAAAAAATCATATTTGTTGAGGTTCCCACATTTTGTTTCAATCGCTGCTCTCCATGATGCATGCTTGCAGAATGATGTACAGAGTTGTGATGGCTGGGCATTTGTGACTCTCACAAGAGGGTTCCCTAAGTCTTTCCTCCATAATCTCAATTGTTGCAACCTCCAATAAACCATTGCCACCATTCCGTACAAAGAAATGCCCTCTCTGTATCTTTCTCTCAAAAAGGCGATGTGTTAGGAGCACTAGTTTCTCTTCTTACCCATTGGTAGGCAACAGTGCGCTGTAAGCTCTCTGACAAAATGAGCACATGGATACAAGTTGTTATGTAGATTAAAGTTAGGTAGCTGATGGAGAATTACTTGGAGGTATTGGGAGAAGACAAAAGTCTCATTACTATATATACTTGCACATAGGCCCATGCATGGGTAAGTCAAACCTGTTTTTGTTAGTATTTTGCAACCTAAAATTCTTGGTTTATCCATGAGTGCATACAATAACTCCCAGGCATGAATGCATACCTACACAATGCAGGCAAAGTTTGTAAATGTGCAGTATTTATGTTTAGATCCGTTAATTGTCCAAGTTTTCTCTAGGGCAGGATGTGTTTCTTACAAATGGAGGCATTCAGATGCATGGCAACACAACGCATAAACAAAACCACACACACACACATACACACACCAATCTGTTTAGGCAGTAAACTGTACGAAGCCAGTTGACTGGGAGATGTTTGTCTAAAATATTGATTCTTTTTAATCCAATCTTTTTTCCTCTGTTTTAGGGTGTAGAAAAGCTTTTAGAAAAATTGTTGCACATCCTGTCAGAAAAAAATATGTAAGTAAAATGCATGTTTTTTTTTAAAAAACATTCATTTAGAACATGCCTCACTGAAGTAAACAACAGAAAAATTAATAGTTAATCACTTATGTAGCTTTGTTTTATCAAGCTGAAAATGGTAACCCACAACTCCTTTGAGGAGGTACTTGATTTAATCAGGTATTGGAATAAGCAGCTGATGTTTGTACAATTTCTAAAGAGAACATGCTCAGAAATCGCCATTTGCAAAACTGACTTGCTGATCAAAAATGTGTCCCAGCCTTATAAGGCAAAATGGCCTATGTGGCTCTTGTTGTCTAAAGGAAGTATGATGCTTCTGTGCACGATAAAGTATTCCATCAAAGGGATTGTTCTTGATAGATAAACTAGTCATAAAAGATTACATGTTATTTTAATAACCACAAACACTAGTGTATAAAAACGCTTTAAGACAGCGGGGTTAAACTCGGTCTCATTGAGGGCCCATTGGGGTTGTGTATGATCTCGGGGTGGGGTAGGTGCGGCCATAGTAGGTGTGGCCAGGGTGGGCATGGCCAGCTTGTCACTTGTGTCGGGGGCAGCTGTGGTGGCCAAGTGCTAAGGCAGGACTTTCCTCAGAGCTTCCCTCATTCTCATTATAACCAATCTTAATTCCTTCCTTCCTTCCTTCCTTCCTTCCTTCCTTCCTTCCTTCCTTCC